GCAATATGTGTAATTTTCATTACAACGGATAATTTTCCATTGTCGCGCAACGAATAGAAAAGCTGCTACGGCCCCGCGGCGCATGCATGTGGCTGTGCGTAATTAATTAACTAGAAAAAGCGTATTTAATTGGAGCGGTATCATCGAATGTATCATCATTAATTACTATATCATTATTATGATACGGCGATAACAGCAGATTGATGTATTTGTGTGTGATTACATTTCCATTTGTTTTATTCACCACGCAAATGCGGATCATATCAAACGTTAATCCGTTATCTCGGTCGCGGTCGACGGGTATTGCGCTCTTTCCACTTCCTCCCTTATTTTTCTTTCTTTTTTTCTTTTTTTTCTCTCTACCTCTGTTTTTTTTTTATTGCCGCGTCAACGAATAGATACTTTACCCGAATTTATTTAAAACATGTTTGGATGCTGGTATGATGAAATGATCTCTCCACGAGATACATTGTAATCGCCCGCAAGCGCAATGCGTCGAGTATTCCACGTATTTCGCTTGTGCACCTTCCCGCTCGTGCACGTACGCACGTGTGTGTGTGTGTGTGTGTGTGTGTGTGCGCGCACGCAAGCAATTTTTCAAAATTCGTTTTATCTCCTGCGGAGTCGACACGCATACTCCACATACTTTCACCGGTATTAACGCCACGAAAAAATCCAATGAGAGCTACGCCGATACACGTACGCGTAGCGAGCGATACGTGCTAACCCTTGAACGAGCGCAACGATACTGTCCGCATCGCGATTTAATATCACGCACTATGCAGGGGAAAAAGTGATAATTGAGGCACACGTTATCCCTTATGGGAATGAGAATTGCACACACTAAATTTCTCGGAGTGGAGTCCCATTCAGAACGCGGGAAAAGTGCCGGTGTTTCGCACTCGAGGCGACAGTGAAAATACTGTCGCTCGAAATCGCAAGAGCGAATGGCTCACTCGAGCTTAGAGCGGATTCTGACTACATACGAGTGAATGTTTCAATCAGTTAGAGCAAACACGTCCTTGTGACAGTAGGTGGAGTACATCAGATTCTCTCTTCAATTTCTAGTGGAAATATTCATCCGATGACTCGGAGAGACTTTACTCCCTATGAGAGAAAAGTCACTCAAGTGATTTGGTGGTCACTTTACTCTTTGAGTAAAATTTCACTTTAAGAAATTTAGAGAGGAAAGAGAAGGTTCAAGTAGATAGTTCCCATTAAAATACTCTCAGTAAATGCTTCAATTCATTATAGTGAATTTTTTGCTGTGATAGTACGTCAGAGAGTACATCAGATCGTCTTATCAATTTCTAGTGAAAATATTCACTCAATGATTTATATGGAGAATCGACTCCATATGAGTGAAAATCACTCGAGTTCGAATGTTTCGATAACTATTTTGCTTTTCTTGGAGCAGAACTTTTTTTCAAGACAATTAGAAGGTAAAGGAGATACTTCCGAATACTCTGAATAAATATCATTAGCTTCAAGCATTTAGCTTAAATTGAAAAGATGGCGGGGGCTGCCTTCACCCACATTTATCGTAAAACCTAACTTTCGGAAGAAAAGGAAACAAAAACAATATCGAAGATTGGACGAGTGATGAGGTGCGCAAGTACACGAGATTCCCTGGGGTTGTTCCGGCAAATAACGCACCCGGCAGCTTAATGAGCTAACGCACTCCGTCGGAAATTGCATTTAGAAATCCCTTTCGATCGTGGCGCGAGGATACTGTTCCCCGGCGGTAACGGCGGTCTCTCTCCCACCCTCGCTCTTCTCTTTTCTCTCTGTTCCTCGGCCGTGTTACCGGCGGGTGTCCGAGCTCGCGCGCGAAGGAAGGGCGGGTTGTTTTATGCAGGCCTTGGATTTTATGCAATGAGACTGCAATATCAAACGGCGCGAGAAACGGGCGTGCGCGAAAGAGAGCGGAGTGCCGCTGAATAAAATATTCGGGCGCACGTTGAGAAAAAAGCACCGGGGGGTGGGTGGAAGGGCGGGCGCGGTAGGAATGGCCATCCGACGCATTTCGATTTCCCTACGCCGGCTGTGTGCTCTGCACAATAGATACACGGGCAGATCTCGCGGGTGCATTAAAGCGCGCGCCTCATATTCTCCCGGTCGATCGTTGGGGTAATTTATTACGCGCTCGGATCGCTGCGCCGTCGTCGTCCGGACGACGCGAGAGTGTCGTCGTTATGCACTCGCGCTCATTGAAACGAGCGTGCCACCTCGACGCCACCGGGTGGTGGATCGGGCCGCGCGGCCCTTTAACCCTTTCGTCGAGTCTTCGCTCGCCCGACGAGGAAAAATCGCTCTCGCGGGACTGCTTCGCGGATGTTCGACCGATGTTTCGAGTCTGCTGCGACGTTTTCCCATCCGTTTTCCGTTGAGCTTCGTTATTCGAATGGGATTTCAGCGGTGTGTCTCTCCCTCCGCCATTCAGCGGAACTAGTGACGTTGCGCGACCGCCGCGAAGTGAGAAAATGAGACAGTGCGGGGAGCAAAGAGCACGCGAGCGAGAAAGGGAGGGACACTTTGGAACTTAGATTGGTGTCACGTGGCTCACGGCGATCTGAGAGTACGAAGGGGACACGAAGACGCCGAGGGGAAAGAGAATGAGGGGAGAGTAAAAGGAAAGGAGGGACCGGTAGAGGGAGTGGGGTGGGAGAGAGGACGGGATCGCTGTAAGAGCACGATTCGAGGCGGCTTAACCGACAAATCCTAGGTAAGACCTCTCGCGAAATCTCTATTTCCGCGAACGCCATGTTTCCACGGG